GGTAGAGGTAAGCATTGGAGAGTAACACATGTCAGATTTATTAAACATATCCAAATGCAGAGTTGGATTATAAGAATGCTAACTGTAGTTACCAGGTTCATGTTCCCTGATGTGACCGGCATCGTATTTGTCTGTTGCTTCAAAATTTAAGTCCACCAATTCCATGTGCTTGCTTGAATGGGTGTTTGATGCATACAGTCACTAAAATGCAAAAATGGAACAGGGCCAAAGATGCACAGCGAGGAGTTTATTTCCTCCTCCAGCAACAATAAAGCGAAAGAGAAAGTACTACACCAGCAACAGAGCCTCATTTACGTGCCATAAATGATTTAGCCTACAGGAAATGGTGACTGTAAGTGGATGGTTATCAGCTGATTTAAGAGCATTAAGTCAAAACATTTCCTCATGCTTTTTAGTAGTTCTGCTACAGCCTTGATGATACTTTCTGTATCTGCAACTCCACCGGGGTTTGTTCAGAGTCGAGTGATGTAAATTTCACAATGAGTGAGTGTGAGGGTCTGCATGTTTGTTGTGACCGCACAGACTCATCTGAGGAGAATTTACTTTACAATGCAACTATGCAGGCCCAATAGGCAGTTGATTTAAAAGAGCCACCTGTCTTCAGCTGTCCATGTCTGCAATTCAATATCTTATTAAAAAGTGTATAAAATGGCTGACAACTCTTACTCCTGTCTTCTTAAATTCAGATACAAATTTTAATGAAGCTACAATCTTAAAATGAAGTCAACAGACAGAAACATCACAACCTGTTTTGAGTTGATGATGGATCACTGTAACCACTCCCCACACAAATTGTTTTTAGATTGCAGAGGTGTGCACATGCCCTGACATGAAAATTTAGTGAATCTATTGCTAATCATATTTTTTTTTCCAATGCACTAATGGGAAACTTAGCTGAGAAGTGACTGACAATCATTTGTCCCAAGGCTTGATATTCTTAAAAATGCTTAATGAGGAATTTAGACTTAAGTGACTTGGTTGTGTTGTTCATATGGTTGTTTTGCTGCATTTTCAGTTGCAGGGGTTCGTGGCAGAGGAAGAGCAGCTGTTGGTAACAGGTTCTCTTCGCAGGGAATGGGGTAAGAATATGCATCATGTAAAAGTTTTACAAAAGGAGGTGATGATGTTGATTACAAGCACATATCTTAAAAACAAGTGTGTGTGGAAAAATATGTTTCTGAATCTCCTTGATTGAAAATTTGTTCTGCCTACCGTTATCAGTAAAAACAGATGTCTTTCAATTCGCTCAGTTTTTGTTTTTGTTTTTTTGGTTTGTTTTGCTTTTTCACACTGCTGCTTTTTTTCCCTCCAGAACCTTCAATCCTGCTGACTACTCTGCTAACGCTGGAGCTCGCCAGGAGGCATGGGAAGGAGATGGCAACGAAGCTGCTGAGGAAGCTGGTAAAGAAAATAGTCAGGCATACACTGATTTTTCTTGCAATATATACTTTTTAGTGTCCACTTTCTACATTTGAGCAAATGTCTCGTTTTCGACTATTTCAGGATTGCCACAAGAAATTACAAAAACACTAATTTGGCTATGCTTCTGTTTTAAATAGGGACATGGGGAGGCAACCCAGAAGACTGGAGTTCAGAAGACTGGAATGAAGATGTAAGGCACTGCTTTTCAGTGAAAGTGTATTGCAGCGCTTTAAATGTGCGCGTTTATGCTTAAAGTCTAGTGTTGCTGTCTAATGATGTTAGCTAACTAAGTCCTGTTGTTAAAGGGTGACTTGATGTGGCTCTGGGAGGTTTTGGAATGCTGTACTAATATCTTCATCTTTCACACAGTTATCTGAGACCAAAGTATTCACTGCCTCTTCTGCCCCAACAAATCACATCACACCTGGAAACAAGTAAGCCCTTCATAAGTCATTGGCACCTTGAAAGAACACGTAGAAATTGTTTAATTTTGGAGAATGGCATTTTATTTAATCAACACTGTTATTCCTTCTTTCCTCCTTCCAAACCTTTCTACTTTCACTCTTCACTCCACTTTCTGTGTGCTCTCCTGTTTCCTGCTTGTTCCCAGTGTGGACCTGGCTGGCATACTTCCTAAGGCTGGAGTGGGTGTAGGGAGTTCTGTGGACTCCGATTTGGGGGCGATAGTCGATGGCCCCTCAGCTGAGGATTTAGGCCAAAGCCTGGTGTTTACCAATTCACATCACAATGGACGCACTGCAACACACAGCTACGCACATGCCACAGCCAACAGCTATGCCCATGCAGCTTCTGGCAGTACCACCTACGCACATGCTGCACTGGTATTCATAACTATACTCTATAGATTTATAGACCTTAATACAATATACATTTAGATGTATCCTCATCGCCTTTTTCTTCTGTCTCCCTGTCAGTCCTCAGTCCTAGGTTCTGGTTTTGGGTCACTGAATGCACCCAAGCAGGCACCTGCCCCTGACATCCGGACATCAGAGCAGCTGAATGGGCCTCGGCTTGGTCAAAGAACCAGTCAGATGTTGGCCACCACCAGCAATAGCAGCATTTCCAAAGACCAAGGGCAGTCTCCAATGCAAGCTCCTGCCCCCTCTCCCTCTGCAGACAACAAGGCTCAAAGACTGGAGAATGGCTCTATTACTGCCCAACACTGTAAGTTTATGTCAGAGTAGTTAGGAATCCAAAACAAAGATGTTATTAGGTTTGGAAGCATTTTTTAAAGACGGGAGTAAAACCCAGAGGTATGGTGAATATCAGTATTGTAGTCATGGTAATGAATGTATATTTGTCTCCCTTTGTCTTCAGCGGAGATGAAGCTTCAGCCAGAGCCATCAGTGGTGCTCAGCCAGCTGGCTCAACGGCAACAGCAGTCCACAATCCTTCCCACCACAGAGCCTTTGGGCCCTGTCCAGGCACATGCTCCACAGGCCCCTACACCGCCAGGTAGGCCTGCAAAATAGAACTATCCTGTACCACTAAAAGTGTGATTGTAGGCTGTTGCTACCTATAGAGTAGAGAGACAGTAAAATATGTAGTGCCCCTACAAAAAAGATACATAACAGGAAGTCGCGTTAGTCAGTTGCTTTATTGCTATACCGTGCTATTGTTGTTGTGACTATAATGACATGGTGAATGGTCATGGTGCTTTTATTCTCATTCAGGTCATGAGTCCTCTGTCCCTCCTGTAAGAGACAGCGCTTCTCCAGGAGTGAAGCTGCCAGGCATGGAGCCTTTGACCACAGAGCCTCCTCAGCGCCAAATAAAGACACAGAGACGCAGAGCGCCTCCTCCCTCAAAAGTAAGCCTCTTTGAATCTTTTTATCTGGCAGAAAATGTAAACGAGAAATGACAAAAGAGCTGTATTCATTCTAAGAGGAGATAGAAACCGAAAATCAGTAATTTATCTCCTCTTAAGGGGTTTACAAGGCAGGTCTGCTAGTTAACCAGTTATATGAGCAGACTTAATGAGGTAGTTTCCACAGCCTTATGCTCCCCTTACTACACACACAGGTATGCAAACTTTTTTTTAAAGAATAGACTGCTTGTACTTGACTCCTCCCGGTGCTTGTTTATCTGCTAGTCTTGAAGTAGCAGTAGACCAGAATATTCAGCTATTTATGTGTTCTTTTGTTGGCTTTGTTTTCAACTCGGTGTCTTTGTTGTTACAAATAATGACTTTTCACACCTCTCTGGTTACTGTTTGGACAGTAGCCACCGCTAAGCTGCAAGCATGAGGTCGTGTTCACCTTTTACTACATCTGCTCTTGAGTGAGCAGCAGCTGGTGCTTATGCTCAAATCAGCATCACATTTTGTCCTGACCTTCAGTTACTTTTTTTTTTTTTTTTTTTTTTTTTTAATGGGACTGTTTTAACTCTGATTGAACACTGACAAAATGTTGGTAAAATAAATGTTTTCACAATCAATTTTTTTGTAATAAAGAACAGAAACCTACCCCAAATCCAAAAATTAGATCAGTTCTGATTACTCGTCCTTCTGTCGTCTTTAGATTCCATCGTCAGCAGTGGAGATGCCGGGATCGGCAGATGTGTCTGGTCTTAATGTTCAGTTTGGAGCTCTAGACTTTGGGTCTGAGGCTAGCAGTGGAACATCAGATATGGTACCAACTGAGTTGGCCAGGGAACACACGCCTGTTCAGGCCCCACCAGCCATGCCAGTTCCTACTGCTATTCCCACACAGCCGCCTCAGAATAGCCTGTTCTCTAAGCCAGGAGCTGTGAGGTATGTGTTTGTCATGCAAGCATGTTGGTGTATGTGAGGTATTTGTTATGTGTGGTGGGTTTTTTATGTTTTGTTTTGTTTTTTTGCTTTTTTTAATTCCCCATTTAGTGGATATAATACTGGCAAACCGGGTGATTCGCAACACTTTAAATTCCAGAGACTAAAATGACCACAACTTTTTGTTTTGCAGTGTAGCCCAGAGCCCTAAAAACATTCAGGAAACTTGGTTTTAAAAAAATGTTAAACCTCAGATTCAGAAAAGTCTCATTGTCCAAAGAAAGTTCTTGATGTTGAATTGAACCAGTTTTTTGTTGTTTTTTTAAATTGAGCTTTTTCATGACTCCATCAGGAACCCTTTGCAACTTTGTTTACATTTATTTAATGTTATTTAATTATTTATTTTTGGAGACCCTATGCTACTTTATGTCTCCCCCAACACAAAATCTCTATTTGTCCTTTAAACAGTGAACACATGAGCAGCTTATCTTCTGTAACGGACCCCAACTTCCCTTCACCCTCTTTGGGCTTACCTAGTGCTACGCCCACACCCTCCCTTGGTCTCCCCAGTGCTGCTGCGCCACCCTCCTCTTCAGCCCCAACCACAGTCAGCCGGGTGGAGAGCAGCATCCCGAGGTCCCTACCCCCTCATCTTGGGTTCCCACAGAGCAAAGATATCCCATCGGCTCCTGGTGGGCCTCTGACGGTGAGTATAAACCTTTTTTCTCAGGTCTCAAACAGAATAAAGATTTTGGCAACTACTTAAATGTTATTTGCCTGAAAGCTGAATGATGAAACCAAGTCTTGAAACGTTTTCTCTCTTAGAATGGCTACACTGGTATGAAGACACAGAGCACACAAGACGGTAAGTACTATTGTCAGTAATGTAAAAATGCACTCACATGGCCAATAAAGTCTGGTATAATGAACATTGATTGCTTAATGCTGAGGAGGAAATGGAAAGATGCATCTTAGTGCAAGTTGTGGTTTGATAAATGCCGTTTTTATAGCCACCCCATCTCATTTTCTTTTTCACCCTGATTCTGTTCAATTCTTTTCCTTCTCATATAGTAACTTAAAAAAAACAGATAAATAGACCAAATTTTGCCCCAGATTAATCTTTCTAATTTTAAACCAGGCACAGCATCATCTAGGACAGTGACAACTGAGTCTCCCATTATGACAAGTGACAGCAGCCCTGGCCACCACATCCCTTCTCCTGCAGTTACAGCTTCCCACTCAACATCCATCTCATCGTTCAGCAGGTAAGGAGCGGCTCGGCTGCACTTTGATGTTTTTGCCTGGAGATGATGATGCTTACAAGCACATATCTAAATCATTTAATGTGGACATATTTTTCACTGAATCTCCCTGCTTCCTGATCACACATCCAATTTGAAGTGCTTTTGCAGATTTATCAGCTTTCAGCAGGCTGACAGACTCGCTTTATTCTCTTTGTAGTCACACAAGCAGTACGCACTCATCTGGGTCGACCCTCTCTACGACTTCCTCCCTTACGGTAAACAGATGCTTAGTATGTTTGGATTTTATAATTTTATTCTAATCCAAAATTTTAACTAAGCTCCAGAGTTTACAAACAAACAAACAAAAAGAAAACGCGTTCTCTGCTTTTATTCTTTCAGACGAGTAACGAGGAGAGTAGCAGCGGAAACATCCATGCCTTTACTTCGCCATCATCCAGCCAGGTTGTTAATCCCAATCCTTCAGCTCCCCCCGTTGTCAGTAGTTCTGCCACCAATGGTCTGCATCCATCTGGAGCACCTGGACTAATTCCAAATGGCACAAACGCCACACTCTCAGCTGCCGGCAGCCGCACAGCACCCCTGCTCACCACCACCTCCGGTATGATCTTTACTACCATAACACCACAATGGATGTTAAAACGAAAATATTTTGAAATATCATACTCAATTCTTTTTCTTTTCTTTTTTTTTTTTTTTTTTTACTATGAATTATGATTTTAATCTGGCTGTTTTGGACACTTAACTGAGACTGTACATATCTATAAATAAATTATGTTCATTCAGTGCATAACATGTCCTTTGTGGTGTCTGCTCCAGGTAAAGCTCCTCCCAACTTGGCCCAAGGAGTGCCACCTCTCCTGGCCAACCAGTACATCATGGGCCCTGGTGGATTGCTCCCTGCATATCCGGTAGCTATTTAACTGTATCATATAATTACTTGTTTGTGTTACTCTTGATCCCATGAATTTTTAAGGGAAAGGAAAGACTTAATATGGATCCTAAAGATAGATTAATTGGGTGTCCTCTTTAAAAAATAAATAAATAAATGCAGGTTTTTCTAGAAGTGCAGAAACTGAACAGAGGGATTGAATTTTCTCTTTATTCTATAGAGGTTTTTAGTCATTTGGGAAGATTTTGATCATGTACTGAATACACTCATTAGCAGCTAGTAAAGATAAAAGGCTTTGTAGGCATAAGCGATGTTTATTAGACTCCAACATCTGCTAAATAACCATTGTCCTAATTTCAACAGCAGATATATGGATATGAGGACTTGCAAATGCTGCAATCGCGTCTTCCTTTGGTGAGTCTGTTGCTTAACTTAACCTTTAATAATGCCTTAATGTTAGTTGCTTTTTAACATGAGAAATATCTGAGTATTTTGATCTAGACAACCCAAAATGTGATGTCCACATATGTGGACGCCAGGTCCTAGGAGGTTAATGCTGTTTTTCTTTTTAATTATTAATTATTTTCCTCTATCTGGACAGGACTACTATGGTGTAACATTCCCTGGTGCTACAACTGCTATGCCTGGTAGAGATGGACTTGCTAATAACCCATATTCAGGTAGATCAAATTTTATTCTCCCTTGCACTTCATCATTTTGACTTGATGACTTTGGTTAAGCACTTTTTTTTATTTTTTTTATTTTTTTTATAGATTATGTTGAACTGAAATTTTCTGTTGCCTGTAGGTGATTTTTTTTTAATTATTTTTTTAAGGGGGGTGAGCATCTTAGTTTTTTTCTAAGCTGTGTTTTTAATCTTTGCTATGGCTTGAAGCAAATGAAGGACATTTCCTAAGAACACCAGCCCAACAATATCCTTAAAGCCTCGTGTATTTGTTGCCTAAAGGGTGGTCATCTAAGAACTCTGTTTTTACTGATGGGGAATTGTGTTCGGTGGAAAGCTGGAGTACCTGTTATAAGAGTAGAAATGAGGCTTTAGGGTTCATTTCCACTTTTTTCTTACCTTTCTTCTGTCTCTCCTGATTCTGCTCAGGTGAAGCAACAAAGTTTGGCAGGAATGACTCTTCATCTCCAGCTCCTCCAACCACCCTGTCTACAGCTGGGGTGCAGTCACAGCCCCAGCAGACACAGCAGACAGGCACACAAGGGCAGGGTCAGAGCCAGGGTCAGCAGACACAGAACCAGGCCTTCCTCAACCCCCCTCTCCCTCCTGGCTATGGATACACTGGTGAGGGAAAAACAAAATCATTTTTAATCACATCGACGTCAGTCATTTTAAGGTTTTACACTATTAACCATTTGCACATCCTCCATCATTTCACAGGTCTGCCATATTATGCTGGTATGCCTGGAGTTCCCTCAGCTTTCCAGTATGCCCCCACTGTCTTTGTGCCTCCTGCCTCAGCCAAGCAGCCAGCAATGGGCCTGGCCAACCCCTCCAATCAGTACCACCAACAGCATCAGCCAAGTTATGGACAGCACGCATATGGCACAGGTAAGACCTGGACTAAACAGGGTTTTGTCTGGTTTGTTAGAATTCTATTATTATTGTAATAGTAGTTGTAATACATTAGTAAACTAAACTGATATCTCAGCAACACAAAATGTAGTTATGAAGCTTAATTAGCTTAAAAGCTGGCATTATTGTGGGCTTCCTGGAAAGTTATTTTTGTGTATTTTGAGACTCAAGTGTAAAAATAGACGTCAGACTAAATCAAGGTGTCTCTAGTGGGAGGGGAAAGTGAACTGAATTTCCAAACCTTTACACATGTACACCACATGCTGCATGTGCGTGTAGAGTTGGGCCTGTTTTGTTTTTGTTTGTTTTTTCTGCTTGTGCTGCATGCATAGCTCAAACCCCCTGCTAAAGTTGGACACAGCTCAGTATAGACAGCTGCCATTTCAGTCAGGTTACCTTACTGCCTCTCTCTCTCTCCTGCCCCCTCCCCCCTCTTTTTCCTTCCCATCCTCCTCCTTCACAAAATCTGCTCCTCATCCTCTCTCCCTCCCCCCTCTGCTTTGCTCTGCCTCCTCTGTTCTTCTATACTCTTCCTCCTCCCCCTTCAGCCTTTGATGACCTGTCTCAAGCCCACGGTGGGGAATACAGTAAGGCAGGGTATGGAAGCACTGCCCAGTCACAGGCCAAGTCAGCAGGCAGCGGTCCAGGGAAAGGTACATGCACGACACATGGTGCACACTCTAACAACACACAAACACACACACAGTTAGTGGGCGTTTTTCAAGGAGGAAAAACGGGTGTACTCACAATTGCAGATGATTCTACAGTCGAGAGTGTCCTGGAGAAAGGTGTGTATATGCAAGCATGTGATTTTACTTTCATGTGCAAATGGCTGGGTACATGCTAAAGGGCGGCACGGAAGTGAGAAACATGCCCCTGCTCCTCCTCACTTACTATGCTTCTTCCTCCTGGCTGGCCTGTGTCCTACTAACAGTGGAAACTGGCATTTAGTTTAGAAGATAAGCTTATCAGCATTGAAGTGACACAGCTGCTGTTTTTTTTTGTTTTTTGTTTTTGTTTTGTTTTTATGCATTCCCACTGATTTGTTGTTGCTTTTTCTGTTTTTGTCCTCCTTTCCCTCTGAAATCCCAACATTGTCTTTTCCTCTTTTTCCTTCTCCCCTCTTTCATTTCTTTCCAGCACCAGGATTGTCAGGTTCAGGTACTAGTGGTGGAGTACCTGACATGGGAGGTTCAATCTACAGCAAAACACAGGTGTGTGTGTGTGTGGTCCACATGTCTAAGCATGATCTGTTTGTATATATTTAAAACAATGTGTTTTGTATGACGTTTTTTAAGAGGTTTAATCATTTAAATGTGTGGTGCAAAGTTAACTGGTAAAAATACCAGTTAACTTTGGGGGGAGTTAAAACCTCATTGATGGATACCAGCATTTCTATTTAATGACAGGAAAATACTAAGCTGTAAAGGTAATGGATTATACCCAGTAAGAGCTCGGTAATGTTTTTCTGACAGTTCTTTCTTGAATTGGAAGAGCTGTCTGGTTCACATTTCCAGACTGTTCATGTATATCACACTGTCTTAAGTTCATTTCCTCAGTTCATCCACTCTCCACCCTATTTTAAAGCCCACTACATGACTGTTTTTATCCTTTGCTCATACTGAGGCTGCTGGCTTGTGGTTGGCTCAGAGTTCTGCATAGCTTTCACTTTGTTAGCTCCATTGGCTTTGTGAAATTGATTAAAATGTCTCGTTAGGTTTGTTGTCTTGAACTCTTTGATACGGTTCCCCTGTAGTGTTCTTTAGCTTCCTCACTCATTGAAGAACTCACTAACAGCCACATGCTAACAACGTGTGACTGCTCATAGCTTATGTTTGTGAGTTTGCATGCGACTTTACATACAGAGCAGCTTGAACTCTCAACTTTTGACTTAGTTGATGC